TTTAGTAGGGAAACCGAATCTCCCAACCAAACAAGGGATGAGAGGCCGGGCACCTAGCGGGACCTAGGATAGGGTCTCCAGATCTTTCCCCTTGAAGCAGCACCCCAAGGACCTCCTACGCCGTCCGACCCGACTCTCTGCCTGGGTGTTGGCGCCCAACGCCACCAGCTCTTGGACCAGGCCCTGCGACCGAGCTTTGAGTCAAAAGCAGTTGGCTACATGGTTAGCGTCCATGTAATTCTTCGCCCCCTGGAAAAAATACAGTGATAGAAACCCCTTTAAAACCAACAGGAGAAAACAACACATATTCTGGAGTAAATGGAACTTAGTGATGTCAGTGAGGCCGGCGATGTAGTGGGCGTGTTGCAGGCAGAGTCAGTTTGATTCAGTATAATCTTGAGTCAGGTTGCAAAACCATACCGCATTTGATTTGATATTTGGAGAAGGTCTCAAAAGTATTCTTGTGGGCGGGAGGTCGCACAAGATGTGGTTATATGCAAGTCTAGTTGTGCTAGTTGTGAAGCTATGCTGAAAATTCAAGGTTTTGCCAGTGACGCATGCCAGTGTTGCTAGTGAATTGAGTTTACACTAGTCAGGCTAGACATGCTGGTAAGCAAATGGAGACGGAGTCATACCTTCCTTGACCACTGAAAGCTAGAAAAAAAAAGTCCAACATCACATTATTTGTGTATGTTGAAGCTTGCTTGTTGACCACTCATAATTTACGAAGTCTTGGTCAGACAAAAGAGATCGCCTATAGACAGTTTCCTTGTCTCCCATTTCTCTCTCACATCATCTTGTCCTAACATGGGCACGCGGTCTAACTGGCAATGTTGTCCTCGCTTCCTGTGTGGATTTCGCCCACAAAAGTCCAAATCGTTTGCTTGACTCAGCTTGAGGAACCCAGACACTGCGTGTCAGCCGCTCACAGAACTGGTGCCAGAGCTGAGAGAAGGGTCTTCCTTGACTTTTCGGCCTCGTCACCGGGGCCCCACCCCATGAAACAAGTGCGGCCCCACCACAGGACCAAAAACCAAAGGAACAAAAGAGAGCAAATCAATCACAGCCACATGTTTGCTTCTTTCACATCTGCTTCTGACAACCTGAGGCCCCCTTCCGTCAGTCGACCCCTCCAAGACTCAAAGATAAAGCAGATAAGACTAAAGGCCAGTCTTGCTGGGGGTCAAACAAAGAGCATCCCCCTCATCACTTTCCTCTAGATGTGGTATCCTTTCGATGGTTCTCTTCCCTTCAAAGACCTAAACACCTAACACAAGCCTAACATTTCGATCCGTCCCTTTCAAAAGCCTGAAAGCCGGATCCCGCCTGGTCAGGCTCGCGCTCGTCCAGGAGGCTTTCCCGGAGCTCCATGACCAACTCCAGGGTTGCTGCCTGCCGGCGAAATTCCTTTCCCCTTGTCGGGTTGGCCGGGGTGAAACCCTCTTGGGTTTTTGCTTGGTGGTTGGCAACTTGAATGTCATTCCCCTGTCGGCTTTGACAAAACAGACTGTTTGGAGTCTATTTGTTTGGAGGAACACCCATTCTTTCCCCCCTCGTTTTTGTGGGGAAGCCGCCAAGCTGTTTTAAGTTGGGCATTTGGGAGTCTTTCAATAGCAGGAGCCCTGCAGCTGGTGGACAAAATTTCATAAAGGCATCAGCTATCAGGATGTTGTGCATCCACTGTAGGTTTCCTCCAGAAAAACGGGTTGGATGAGGCTTTTTGTGGATTTGACCTGTTCTTCCTCTTCTGTTTCTAGTACTCTTTTGCAACTCTAGAGGGTCCAGCCACATCCAAATGTGGATTTTCTGACCTCCCCCGCGAAAGGGGGCTCCTGATACTTGTCCACTTTCAACATACCAACCCTGTTCATCTTGACTCTTGTAGTAATTGGGGCTCCTTAGCTCCTTGGCTGCCCACCTGATACAAATGTCAATCCCTGGCTCCTTGGCTGCCCCATATCCACTGAGCATCTGGGTGTCTGAAACATGTATGCCTGGCAGAAATGGCCTGCACTGATTATGATTCACTACTATCCCCGAGTAAGGGTCCTTAATATGGGGCGCGGAAGCAGTGGTCGCACCCTCCTGCGGTGACGTTATAAAAGGTGCAGGATGGTGCCTCCAATGTTTATTTTACTGACATCTTGAGCCACTTGTAGATTCCAATGCCGGGTTTAAGCTTTCAGGGGTTCTTAGTTTTGGTTTCACAACATAGGGGGGTTCTACCCCATGAACTCTGTGGGTTGCCGTGCCCAAAAAATCGGTTCAGACAGCCAGCTGGAACCCCGGGTTCTCCATTCCTCCCAACATGCCTATACAATATCTTGGGCCTGGCAAACACAATTGACCAATTGTCCGTCGAGGCCCTAAGCAACTCAGCAAACTCTAGAATTTACCACGAAGATCCACGAAGGTTCTCTGCGAAAGGGAGCACGTAGTGCTTGAACCCCCCCCCCTTTACTCTCTTGCCTCGGACTTCGCGCCAACCTTCATTCGCTTTCGGCCAACCCCTTAGGTCTATGTACCTGTTTAAACCCTTTTTGCCCAGCCCTTCCCTATGAAAGGGACCTTCGCTGTGAGTTTCCGGGCGCAAAACCCAGGCCAACGTGCTTTCGAGAAATCCGCCTCGGCCCCCGCCCAGCCTGTGCTTGGGCACTGGCGACAATTGCTTCGCCTGAAGCTTCGCAAATTCTGTGAGAAGAAATTGGCTGTGGGTCAAAACCAATGGTACCGTTTTTCGGGGGAGGTGCACCACCCATTTTAGTCTATTTTAGTGGGGATTGGGATGTTCACTGGGGGTACGGGATTTTCCCATGGCCATACGGCTGGTGAGTCCTCAACTGGTTGGGTGAACCGTTGAATGGGCTTTCATGGGTGTCTTTGGATGATACACACATTGTCCTTGCAAGCGATCGTAATCAAGGTGTCCGAACTGGGCTTTTTGTCCAGCCGCTACAGGAAGCAACCAGATATCTGCCATTTGCATTTTGGAGGGTGGTTCCCTGGGCTAGTGCTAAATCTAATGACAGGGTTTGGGTTTTTGATCTTGCGCAAACGAAAGGTCGCTTGGATTTGTTTGGGCGCACTTGACAAGTGGGGGTCGTGTCAAAAAGAGAACCCTGTTTGAACATCTGCCGTATGCGGAATACGCTCCCAAATTGGACATAAAACCCCACCAAAAAAGACATGTCCGAAGGGTTCCCAATGAAACATCATACCCATTTGGCTGTGGCCCAACAATAGGTAGCCCCCCCTCCAACTAACATAGCACCAGACACGGGGTCGCTCAAGAGGAAACCAATCTTCCAGATACTCTCCCAGAGGTGCCATGTTCGTGGAAAGGAGGGTAGTACCCGCAGCTGCTTCATTTCTTGGTTGCTCTTGACCCCCTGCTGCAAAAGTTTTTAACTTTTTAGGGGTTTAGTGGAAAACGCCCCTTTACTAAACCCAACAAGCTAAAGTCTAAAGATCTAATCCAATAGCAGTCAAGATTTTCTGCCGCCACAAAATCCACCTTGTCAAGAACACCTCCGCAACCCCGCGCCTTGGCCGACGCGCGCCGGCCCGGCGCGGGTTTTTGTTTCGGTCCTTTTGGGCGTCCGGGCCAGCGCGCTCCACCAGCAGACGCCGGAGCTCCTGGAGCTGAAGGCGACCAGCCGAAGACGTCAGCCATGCAATGGCAACTGTGGGTAGGATTCGGGTGCCCCAGGTTTTTGGTCCGCGGCTAGGTCCTCCAGACTTGAGAAGTTGGAATAAGTGGGTACCCGACTGCTTTTCTTGTTTGTCTATTTTAGTGGGGGAACCCTCCCAACCAAAAAAGGGGTGAGAAAGGGCACTACTGGGGGACCGAGATATTGCCATTGGCAGAAACATGATGGGCATATATTTGTGGGGTCCACCCCCATCGGGGTGCTGGTTTTCTCGGGAAGCAATCCCAGGAAACCCACTAATGTTGGGGGACTCCCCGATGACAAACACACGACAGCCGAAACCTATTCATAGCACTTCGAGGCAGGTAATCAAGGGAAACGATCATGGGACGCAAAGAAAAAGACCCACATAGATAGCCCATCTAGACATATACTCTATATAGTTGTATGTCACTTGGGAGACTTGCAACGAGGCAAGTGGGTTGTAACTTATAAGCATGACTACACACACTTCGCTAAGTCCCAGACCGGGCCTGGTCATAACTGTACTGCCTACTTTACAGACCGTTAAAAACCACCAAAAAAACAAATATGCTCTTTGCCGCCCCTAAACAGTGAACAAAGCCAAACACGCAGCACACTCAAACAAAACACACCAATAACAGCTACCAAGCCATTGCGAATCCCGGGGTCTTATTTTCCCTACTTGTGACATGTCAAGACTTTCCCCGAAAGGCGAACCCTTTTGGGGTTGGCAACTTTATCAAACAGAACGGCACATAGGGTGCAACTAAACAACTGATCGGCGCCCGGAACGAACCCGTTGGCTTTTCATTCTGTATAAACCTTGCAGCCCCTATTTTCATCCCCACTACCAGGCAATTGAAGCACCTACTAAAATGGCCAAGGGAACCTCTACACGCAGCTCAAGTTGTCCCGCCTCTTTGGCAGCTGGATCCCGGCACCGGCGCAAGGCCACCATGCAAACAGCCTCGAACGAGGGCTGTCTAAGGGCAACGCTGGACGGAACGACCCCCCACAGACTTCCGTTTGATTAAGCCCCCTGGATTTGTTTTATATATTTCCAGTAGTACCAGCAGGGAAAAAACAAACAAAAAACAATTAAGCAAATGGAAGCAGATTTCTGGGTCCCATGCTTACCTTTTGGGGCACCCTCTTTTTGGGACCCTCCTGCTTCTGTGCTGCCACAACAGCTTTCCAATGACTAAATATTCGCTTGAAGGGAGGTAATGCTTCCCTGGAACAGAAGTTAATTCCAACAACCCTAACCGTCCATCGAACCCATATGTTTTTAATATGCATGGGCAAGAGGCTACTGTAAGACCATCTTCATCCTCGATAGAAAGCAAGCCAACCAAACAGCAACCTAGCCAACCCCTGGCATAGTGGCAACAAAGCTCTCTTTGGTGCATGCCCCCAATGAAACTCGGCAGACCAAAACACACCAACATTTAACATCACTCGCCAAAAGCAGTTGACGAACCATTGCAAATATCAAGGTGTTCTGGTTCCCTACTTGCCACATTTAGGCAATCGGCCGAGAAATACATAAGGAGGACACCAGCTATACTAGTGGTATCAAGCAGGGGGCGTAAAGATCATGAGGCAACTTGACGGATTCTCTGAGGTTCTGTTCTTACCTTTTACGCCCCTCCTTACTAGCAAGTAGGAAAGCCGACACAATAGTTTTGTGTCAAACGTAAACGGTGAAATCAAAGGACCCCAAAAGTTGCGTTGGTAAATCTTATAAACCCTCCCACCTCACAAACCTAAGGGCCAAAAGGGCGCTGTGGGATCCCCCAGGTCAAACAAGGGCCATGTCCAAGCTCGGGCAAGAAACTCTTGCGTGCCTTTGCGGGAGGGTCAACATGGCAACAAAAGCGCGCTCACAGCCAGGTCAATCTTTAGTCTTTTGCGATTCAGCGATGGTTGAATGGAAGTCACAAGCGGGCGGTAAGTCCAGCTATCAACAGCCTCTCGGGTATGGATCTTCATCTTCTGGAGGGTTGATGTCCGCTCGCAATCAGAGGATCGTCCGCATCAAAATTCATAGCCGCCCGCTCTCCGCGGAGAAGGGGCGGAGAGTGGAACCCCTCGTGACACACTCCCCGATGATCTTTTGCCATTTGGTGCAAATCCCGAAGCTTGGCAAGCAAAACAACGTGAACAAGTCCACAAGAACTCCTCACTTGCCCAAAGGACCCAGAGGATAGAAGGTGAACTTTTTGAGGCCACGACTAAAAACGGACCAAAAAGGGGGAACCAACAGGTAAAAGGTTGATTCTCCTTGGACAACTGGGCTGCCCTCAGATCCCCCGCTAAAAGTGACTAACTTTTAGTGGGTTAAATGGAAACTACCAATAAACACTAAAAGGCTAAAAGGCTAAATTGCTAAGGAACCGCATGGCTGGGAGCCACCAAGACAACTGAGTCTCAGTGAGTCCGACGTTACAAGGTCAGCTCCGTGGCATCCCAGCCTCCACATGCTCGTCCATGTCACGCTGCCGCTGCTTCACTGCCTAGCAAACGGATTTTCTTGTGGCCAACACCTCCCCAATTGGGCATGACTTTTCGATGATTGCTGGATTGGAAACCCAATATCCACAACATGGGTTCGTCTCAAAGTGGGTATGACTTGTCTTGATTGAGGACCATTTCGTGAACATCCCTTTCTATATGGTGCAGAAAAGAGGAAACAAGTGCTCCTTTCTCATCTTCTCTGCACGTAGGCCAAGTAGTGAACTCGTGGTGTGCGAACAAAAGACCCCCCAAGACCAGCAGGGCTCAGTGGCTTCGATTTGCGGTGGCGGCGGAGTCAGTGGAATTCTGCGCTTTCCTCCAGCTGGACCTCAGGGTTCGGACCGCCCGGATGAACAGGGATGGTCAACCCACGGGAAGTAGCACAAGAAACCACTCTTATCCACGCATAGCGCCTGTTACGTGCTCCAAAGCAGGACCCCAGAAAGAAGCTGGGAACAGCTAAACACACTTATGATTCCGTAGGAATAACCATGATCTACCAACTGAAAACAAACAAAAAAAATACGAAGAAACACAGCTCCATCAGCACAGCATTAGACTCAAACCCCGTGCACAAGTTGACTGTTTGCATGCAAAATGCTTTGAACGGGCGAGCTAAGTTCGGGCCGGGAACTGTTGATACCTCCCTTTGCAGGTTGCTCCGTGCATCTGGTTGAGGGCGGCTATCGAGTTGCTCCCCTTCGAACTGAGGGTAGAAAGTAGGAAAACCAAAGGAGACCAACTGTCCTAGCCTCACGGGTTGACCATTTTGGACAAAGCGCCACCAACCACATTTGGGGAAGGCAAAAAAAAACCAAACTGGAGTTGTGGCTATAATGATATGATCTACTCACCTTCCCACCAACAAACATGGAAAGGGAGGTGGCCAGGAAAACTCGTGTGCACGCACACCCATGATGGTCCCACTTGGTTAGGCCATATGGGTGATCCGTTGAATGGCTTCCAACAAGTTGGTTCCTTTCGGATGCTACACTCGTTGTCCTGTGCAAGCTTGCGAACCCTCTCAGAGGGTCTGAATCTGTTTCCGTTCCTTCAATGGCGCAGGTCGACCCCAGTTTTGCTGATTAATCCATCATCGTTTGGGCAATATAGAAATGGTTGCATGACAAAAACATCTTAAACAAATACAGCTACCTCATCTTTGCAGGAAATCCAGGGCCATATCCCACCGGGGCCCCACCCCGTACGTGGTTCTCGAGGCTCTGAGAACCCTTCGGGTGCAAGGTCCCACAAAAAAACCAGTCTCTTCTTGGCTCGGGAATTTGTGCGTCCGATCTTCAGATCTGAGTCCCGCCAGTGTCTGCAGCCTTAGAAGCTGCTTAATCATTCATGATTCGTTTTGTGAACAAAGCTCTCTGTGAAATATATCCCTGTGAAAGAAACCTTCATGGATATTTGGTCGCACACATCCGCCCCTTGCAAGGTTTTTCAGTTGGAAGCCTCGGCATCTTGGGGTAGCAGGTATGTTCATAAAAAAACCTCTGGTGTTTGGCCAACCAACGTAAAGCTTCCGAAAATAAGGAAGCCACGACCATGCCCGGAAGGTGCTCCCCGAGCCGCAACTCCGCCTGCCTTGACGTTGCCGCTTTGTATCAGAAGCCAAAGGCTGGCGTCCTCAAAAGCTGGCGCAATGGGTGGGTTGGTTAGGGTGGCTTCCCATTTGACCCCCAAACGATCAAAAAAACCTGAGACCCAACTCTGGGGTGCATCATCTTTATCTGCCTTTCGATTCTCCTCCCCAGGAGGAAAGTACTCAACTTTTGAAACAGAACCCGTGGGCCGAGACAGAAAGGGGTGCCAGGCCCCCCAAAAAATGAGCCTGAAGAGCCTATTCTTTGCAAGGCTGGGATCACTCCAGTGTAGTCACCTGCCAGGTTTAGATGATCAGGAAACAACCGACCAACAAGTCAATGGGCAAGTGGGTCTTGCAACTTGGAGATACGGGAATAACTCCATACCAACAGAAAGTAGATAAAAACAAAAATAAATAAATACCGCATGTTTTCCCGAATTGCTTGGTCCCCCATACTCCCGGAGGTCAGTTGCAAGACCGACATGTCCGGAGCCAATTCAGGGGACGTGGTGAGTGAACAAGAAACTCAGAAGCTGGAGGAACGCGAATCGTTGCGGCCCAGGCAGTCAGGCGGTAGACTGTGACTCAATATCAGACAGGCTAGGCGACTCTGATATCTCGATGAAGCCTCTGGAAATGTTAAATGTGCAGGGGGGGGCAAGTCCCCCAATTCCATTTGTCTTCCAAAAACAAAAGGAAACACGGTACTATGAATGGATTCAATTAGGAACTTCCAACCTACAGCAAAGTTGTCAGGTTCTTGCCTTCCAAAAAGATACCAACCCCCTGTAGCCCCTTTCAAAATAATAAACAAACAACAACCTTCTATTTTATTTCTCAAAATTAGGGACCCTCAAAAAGGCCGACGTCCAACGGTTGCGTCCCATGAGAACAACCCATAAGGGGCTCGTCCCCTTTTGAACCGCGACAAACGAGCCGTGCCTTCAGCTTCATGGGGCACTCCCCGCTAGTGACGGCCGCCAAGAAGCGGTCCTGACGCACTGACGCTGCTGGCTGGGCGGGCGGCCCCAGATCCAAATCAGCCAACAAGCGGTCCCAAATGTCAAAGGCCTGACGAGCCTTCCTGAAGCGACTCCATAGATGTTACCAGGCGCATCAAAGAGGAACGGCCTCTTGCCAGAGGGATGTACGCAGTTGTTCAGTGACCCTTGCAAAAAAGGGCACCCTTTTTGGGAAGACCATTCTTAGGCAGCCACCCCAAAAAAAAGGAATAGAATTGGTGCCACTGAAGAACTGAGTTGCGGTATGGCCTAGGCTTCAGCCAGCGGGGGCTCTTTGGGATGTAGAATGGTCTTTCGAAGGTGGGGAGAAACAAACTCGCCAACATGCAGATAGAGGGAGGTCTCGGTGGATAGGTGCCCCCAAAAGATATGCTACAAGGGCGAGCAATATTGTGTACATATATATATATATAGATCCATGCATGTATAGTACATATATATACACATTACGTAGATAGATGTACATGCATGTAGTGGGATACCATGGATACCCAGGGGTACATGGATTTTCCACGAGCCAGGGCACCCTTTGGTGTTCAATCCGACCTTGAGCAGGGCCATACCTTCCATATCACCCCCCCTCCCCCGGGCAACATCGCCCCAGTCCACAAAGTTACGCTTCAAGAGCATGCCAAGTGAAGATGGAGTAGCTCCCTTCAAAGCTGTGCATAAATGACAATCTGAAACAGCAAATAATTCCGTCCCCCGAAGCAAGATGGTAAGGCCCCCCAAAAAGTGGGGCCTGACTGTTGATGAATCTCAACTCAATATGAAGCAGGCCAGCCGAATGGCAATGCCATGTAGCTCAAACTAACAAGCTTGAGCGCGAAACAGGAACCCAAATTGGTATGTGTCGATTTAGGGGGACCCCAAAATGGTGGTTGTCTTTTTGGTTTCCCTAAATCAACCTCAACATGGCATCCTCAAAACAAAACCAACAAAAAACACACACACACCAGGGTGTGTCTTCTTCTAGGGGAGCCCCCCCAAAAAAACAATTTGCGGTTTTCCTTTTCCCTATAAAAAGCCACACCAAGGCACCCCCACAAAAAAATACCTGATGTACCTACCTATAGCAGAACAAAAACGAAAACAACGGAGCGTGAAGACCTGAACCAATCCTCGATCTCCCTTCTGCATCGCGCTTCTGAGATCAGCTGCAGACCGCTGAGGGCCTGAGGCTTCTCGGACACGATCCACCCACCCACCCACCCACCCACCCACCCACCCACCCACCCACCCACCCACCCACCCACCCACCCACCCACCCACCCACCCACCCACCCACCCACCCACCCACCCACCCACCCACCCACCCACCCACCCACCCACCCACCCACCCACCCACCCACCCCACCCACCCACCCACCCACCCACCCACCACCCACCCACCCACCACCCACCCACCCACCCACCCACCCACCCACCCACCCCACCCAACAAAAACAAGTAACACGATAGTGCTACTAAAAAGAACCGCCTGCCTAGAGTGGTCCTCCATTTTGAGGCATGTTTCCCAATCGCAGACGGAAAGCTGGCTGTGAATGCACCTCCGAAAACCGCCAAAACGAGACATACCCAAAGACCAAGAGAAGAAGCCTTTAAAAGGCGAAAGGAAAACAAAGTTTGAGGTCGCCCCACCAGAACAGGCCAGGGCTCGGATCTAACATGTCTGAGAGCGTTTCTGAACCCCAAGAAAAGGCTATCCTCCATTCCCCCAAGATGGAACCCACTCCCATTGGTCTGGGGCCCGCTGTCAGACTGCCTGGTTCCATGCAAGGATCCATTCCATACAAGCATCCAAAAGGTTTGTCTTCAAGCAGCGATATCCCTTCAACGGCTGGTTTCCTGTTGGTTTCCCTCAAAAAAGACACACAACTAGACTGCATAAGGAACCTCCTAGAATCGAAGGCTTGCATTCAGGCTGCCCAGCGGCTATACTTCCATGAAGCGTGAATCTTTTGGCGTGGCAAAAACAGCTCATCTTGGTTTCACTTGTGTGGACAAATAAATGAGCCCTTGCCTTTTGTACCATCCTGCTGTCAATCAGTTGGAGATTCCCCGGCCTGGGGAGGCGGTTAGATAGACATGACAACTCGTGTTTCGTTGGTCATTTGTAGCAGGGAACGCTCATTGTGTTTGGCGCGGCTGATTTTGTTTTAATGACCAGACATGACCCATCAACTGGCAAAACAACTGGACACGAATAACCTTCACCAATTGTCCGCCAAGGAAAACCATTGAAATTGCATGAGAAGGGACCCCCCTCCCTGCACATTAATTAGTGGGGTGGAGGGTCTGCCGGCCTAATTCCACTCGTATCGGGGACAGTTTCAGACTCAATACTTAACCAAATACTAAGCAAATACTAACACAACATTAAACAATTTGAAAAGCTACCAACCCGAAAATGACATTGATGTCTACCATTTAGACTCCTTACTTGGGTCCTCAAACATCTCAAAACCAAAAACCAACATCCCCAAACATGTAGCAATTACAACCATCATGCTCCACGAGACTTTCAGTGGCCTTGGGGTTTCAAGCAAAGGCACTCTTGCTTTCTTAAGGAAACCGTCTCCCAGCCAAAAAAGGGAACCAAGACTTTGAAGCAACAAAAACGGGTATTGCTAGCCCAAATACAGCAAGATCTTGCTCGCATGGAGCACAAAAAAGGCACCAAGCCTCCAATTGCTTAAGAGCCCTGGAAAAAATAACAATATTTCCAGTAGCGATAGATTCCCTTTAAAAGCAACAGGGGAAATTCAAACATGTTCCTAAAGCGATGGCCACTCTGGTCCGGGAATCCTTCCGCCTGGGCTGCACCTTCAAACCTCCGCAGGGCTCCGCATCACGCGCCTGGCGGTCCACGCTGGCGCCGGCATCCAGCAGCGCGCGCACCGCGGTGGTCTCGGCCGGCGGTCGCTCGCTCGCGCTCGAGACGCGAGCGAGACGCCCGGCGGAGCGGCGGAGCCAGCGACGAAAACAGGAGGGGGCCACTGAGAAAGTGAAGTTATGAGGCGACGCTGAGTTGATTGTTTTTCTTAGTTGATTGCGCGCCATCTTGCAAGTTGTAGGCTGGAACCAGCTGTAGAATTCTAGAATTCGAGTCGAAATAAGAGATCTCCCAAGCAGAACGGACCTATATCACGCAGCTGAGCTACAGAACATAGGCAGGCCAAACGGACGTGCGCAGCAAGCTCCAACAAACGGCTGAAACCCGGAACCCGCCGATCGGCAACCCCGTGAGAGTCAGTGGCCAAAGTGAAGGGCATATGTTTAGCTCGAAACACCCTAAACCTGAACCCTAAACCTCAACCCTAAACCTCAACCCTAAATCTAAACCCTCAACCTTTACCCAAAGGATTCGGCGGTGCTGGCAACCCTCGGGGGCTGTGGGCATATCTTTAGCCCTGCGCAACTTAATTTGTTTAGTCCTGTGAAACATTCATCACGAGCTTGCCAAGATGAAACTTCCCGCCCACAATAACTGGACAACGACTCCTACCCAACAAAAAGACATCGCCCCCAACCGCAGTGTTGGTCTAAGTTCGTCTTCCTCCAGGGCGCGTTTGGTGTGTTTCGAGCCCTGGATTTGCCCTGGATCCAACCTCGCTGCTCTGCAGTGGTACACTGCCAAAAACGGGTTCTGAGGGTCTACAAAATCCTGAGCCGAAACTGAAGGAGCCCATGTGGACCAACTCCTTCAGGGTTGTCCATATAAGTGTGACAGATGAACTACTAGGTCCTCCAGCATGGAGGTTAGAATAAGGGTACCCTTTTTTCTGTAGTCCATTTTGGTAGGGGAACCCTCCCTCAAAAAAGGGGAGAGAAAGGCACTACTGGAGGACCTAGACTAGGAACTTGCTCGCCCAGATCCAATCCCAGATCCAATCCCACATCCTCGGTCCCCGAGCATTGCGTGCGCGCACAGCCAGCGAGAGCGGCTTCCTGGGCGAAACGGCCTAGAGCACCCCCCGGGGCCAAAATATGCGGCCAAAAGTTCAAAAGGAGGTGGGAAATTAGAGAGGCCCCTGGCTCTTGTAGGTTGGAATTGAAGCAAAAAGACCTCAGGTTTCAAGAGGTGCGGCTTCGAGGGTGCCCTTGCCACCTAGGTTCAAAGGGAGACCGGAAGGAAAACCGAAATCAAATTGAGAGAAAGAAAGAGAGAAAGATGGAGAGAGAGAGAGAAAAAAGAGACACACACAGAGATTAAGAGAGGGAGAGAGAGGGAGAGAGAAAGGGTGAGAAAGAGATGGAATCCCCGAACCTCATGTTGCGAGGGAATGCCAATTGGTGTCAAAGGGTACTCCTGCCAGCCGCAGAAAAACAAGAGTCATTGAACAAGTATTCACTATGAACATGGAAATTTCAGTGCAATCCCATTTTCAAATGGCAATGCGCCCAATGTCTGTTCCCTTGACTACAGCAAATGGCAAACACGGACCGTTGCTCATGTGGGTTTGCCTCAAAGTAGCCGCCCAAAACAGGCCGCAGTCACTCTAGAGTAATTGAAATTTGTGCACCAACCATCAACCACACAACATACCTATACAAGGACCCAGAGTTCCCATGTGCTACAACTTCAAGTTAAACCAGCCGTCTCCCAAGTTCCCTTGCAATATCCGTCGTTATCAAAGTCAGACGGCCCCCATGGCCCCTTGGGGTTTTTCCCCTTGGAGGGGGCCTCGTGAAATCTGAGATCTTGCCATAGGGGCATGGGTCAAAATTAAACCACTAGGGGAAGGCTGGTTTAATGATTATTACTTATTTCCATATACCGGGGTTCCATTTTGGCACACATGTTTGACCCACAGCCATATGTCCTTAAAACAACACAGGGATCCCCACGTAAAGGATCTTTACCTGGCTCAAGCTCGCTCAAATTTTGTCCGGGACGCTCAAATTGGTGAGCTCCTGCCATACGATCCCTCGTCGCATCGGATCTCAGGCCAGTACTCCACGCCGTGGTTGGGGTCCGCCTTGAACTCCACAGCCTCAAGTTCTGTCGCCGGCCGTCTGAGAGTTGACCCCGGAATAGGCCAACCCCAGGGTATTCATAGGGTGCTTGTCCCTGGTATTAGTGTGGACTGATCACTTTTGGAGGGGAACACCTCCCTATTCATGAACTGGGGTTGATTGATATGGGGTGAACATTGGCAACCCATGCTCGAAAAGCTGCTTGGGTGGCGGACTTTGAAACAAAACCATACCAAGCCTATTCAACGCCCGGGCTGGATGACCAAAGTTGGACAGCATCACACAGATCCTTCGAAAGGAAATCCACCAGTGGCCGCAAGTGTAACATCCAAAGCCCACACCTCCAGTGGCCTATTGTTACTCGCTGACTTTGCAGCTGTATCCTCCAAACGAAAAGCCCCCCCCTTTCTGCAGTGAAATGCCTCACCCTCTTCAGGGGTTGGACTCAAATTTGGGAGGGATCCACCACTCCACTGCAACCAGGGATACCACGTACCAGCCTAAAATCCACCAAGGACATCGATTTTGAGCAACCCAGGGAAATCGAAAACGAACACGAGAAAACCGTAGAACCCCGCTTTCCAGGGTCCCATAAAACTTGATTTGCTCCGACCCAAACGAAACACAGCGGTAGACCAGTGGCCTCTCATGGGGAATTGTTTTTTTGTTTTGCAAAAAAGGCGTCGAACAACAAAACAGGTCAAGCTAGATTCAGAGCGTTTTCTGGATTGTTCAGGAGAACACGGATCAGAAGGAGCCCGGCAACGCCAGGGATGGTCATCTTTCGTATCCAAACATGGCTCCATGTGATGAAGAAAAAAACAGCTCACCATCAGATCCTGCCAAACAAACATGAGGATACATACCCCAGTTGGCATTCAGAGCCCTTTTGGCGCCCAACTAGGTTTCTGTGGTTGGTCTCTTAAGTGAAACAAGCCACACGAAAAGGGCCAAATCCTCTTGGGATATCCTTTTCTAGTCATTCCACCTTTGTGGATGCTCAAGCCACCTAGTGAGTAGGTTGTGACAATGGTTGTGCTTGGGGCAATGCTTGTGCTTGGGGGTAGCTGAGGTCCCTTATAATTAAGCGACTTCCAAAGTGCGTACCCCGGCAAAGGTGTCACCCCGTTTGTGGAAACTCGCGCCAACTCGGCAATTTCAGAGTTGTTGGCCTAGTGCTTTTGGAGAAATCGATGCAGAACCATCATCGGACTCCGTTTTGTCAACTATGGCTGTGGCTCAAAAAACCGGTACCAAAATGGAACCCTGGTAAGTGGAAACATGGACCAAACCCTGCGGATTGCCCCTGTTTAATTTTGAGCCACAGCCCTATAACCTGAAACTATGAGGGTTGGTTCTCTCTCTCTCGCTACATCTCCAACCTGACAGACTCCCAAAACGTAGCCCCGCCTTCTTGATCGCAAGGCTCAGACTAGAGGGCGTGGCAAACCTGGCTGCAATGGACTCGAAACACCTGGGTTGGTCAAACTGCGGCCCTGCCAAACTCTCAACGTGCCAATTCATGTACAAAACGGGCACGTCCCCAAAAGAGCCAAAAGAAACTACTGCCTTCGGTCACATCAAAAAGAAGGCAAAACACTGGTCTCACCCACTTGGTTGGTGTTACTCTTCGGAGGCTCGTCTTGAAATCTGAACAAATGCTAGAGGGCTGAATGAAACTTATAGTTCAAGAAGGTGAGGGCGGAACGCATGTGCCCCTCATAATGTGGATGGACGAAATCCTGCACCACCGAAGAACACCTTGGAACAAGGATCCCCTGCAAATACCAACAAACAATGGTGTCCCATGGTTTCTTAGGTGGTGCAGAATTTCGTCCATCCACAGTAGCTTCTCAAACCCTCCGCCAAGCTTGGGGTGCACCAAGAACAGCTGCCGCCTTGCGCCCTTGCCATCGAACTCGATGCTGTGTGCTTGCCCAAGCAAGGGCGATGGCACAAGTCTTCGCGAACTGCACCGCCTCGGACTTGTCGCTCGGAAGGCTCTGACGGGTTGCGCTGCGGCCTTTCTCGTACTCGAGAACAAAGTCCGGGAGGGGCGCCGGCCTGCCTGTGCTGGCGTCTTTCTTGCCCAATTCGTGGGCGAACACGCCCCAATTGGCGCCCGGGTCTTTCTGCTGCCTATTAAACCGATCGACATGCGCCGTGATGAACCTGTGTTGGTCTTGCATGGACCACCCGTGGCCTCGGCGGGTTTGCCCCGTCGGACGCACTCACCTGCCGTGGTCTCCTTGTGCCTTGTTGGCTGCCCAACTTGTAGGCACGTGAACACGATAAGCCAACATCCGAAATCCGCGGAACTTGCCAAACAGAAACGCGAGAGATGGTTGTCCACCCAAGCCGTATGTTGGGCGGCGGGTTCTGACACATCTCAGAACGTGAGAACACTGAAAGTGAACCCAAGACGTCGCCTTGAGATCTTAGCCTAAACCCTGGGCTGCCCTCAGATGCCCCGCTAAAAGTGACTAACCTTTAGTGGGCTAAATTCGGAAATCCTGCCACTAAACACTAACAAGCTAAAAGGCCAAGGAACCGCACAACTCAAACCACCAAAAACCTAAACCAAGTCCGAGCCAGGTCCAAGTCGGGGTGGCGAGCTGCTGGATATGCGACCACCCAACCCAAGCCAACCAGTCCCCTGGCCGGGGCGAAGCCTCGAGCCGGGTCTAGTTAAAAAACAACAACGTACAGAAACGGTTAGTCTAAAAACAAAAAAAAAGAAGAAGAATAATAAAAACAACAGCGGGGGAACAAAAAGACGACAACAACAACATTTGGCCGCGGGTCAAAACCAATGGTACCATTTTGTGGTAGGTGCACCACCCATGTTAGTCTGTTTTAGTTGGATTGGGATGTTCACTTACGGGATTTGGACTTTGACCCATGGCCATTTAAGTTCTGACCAGCCCTAGCAAACCCCCCCCCAAAAAAACACACCGCCTCGCATTCGCCCCAGGAAAAAAAAAAACATGGGACGAACGCCGATCCGCCCGATCCGACCCCGATCCCATGGATGCCTGTTGAGTGCCAGCAGGTCCAGCGCGCTCCTCGCCGAAACAAAAAATCTATGGCCTTGGTGCGAAACACACCGCCGGCAAGAAACAGGGCTTGGTTTTTGAGGGGCAAACATTTGGGCAGTGCTTTTGCTTCTTCTTCCTTTTTTTCCGGGGTAAACATTTGGGCGGTGTTTTTTTTGGGTTTAGGGTTTTGTAAGGCTGTCTGACGGTCCTCTCTTGAATGGGCGGGTCCAATGAGGTACGAAACACAAATGAGTCACAATCAAAACCGATCGGTACAAAAAAGGTGAACCCAGAACCATGCTTCAAGAATTAAGAAGGCGGAATCCCGCAACTATTTCCGGCTGGGATTGTCCCTTACTAATCTTCACTTACCTGGGTTTTGATTGTGACTCAAATGCCCTTGGCATCTGTCTCAAAACAGAGCCACAAAAACTGGTGCCATCAAAAAAGCAAGGCACATCCATTTCTCAAAAAGGTTGACCCCATATTGACCAACCGTTCATTGATATGGGTGTTGCCCTCCAAAAGTGGCGAACCCCCGCTAAACCCAGGACACCCTGCAACCAAATACTTCCAGTAGTGAATTCGATTCCCTTTACAAGCAGCAGGGGAAATAAAACATATCTAGGTCCTCCAGTGGAGAGGTTAGAATAAGGGTACCGACTTGGTTCAGGACGTCTATTTTAGTAGGGGAACCCTCCCCCAAAAAAAGTTGGTAATCAAAAGCTCGGCACTAAAATGGTCGGAATCCCAGAACCATGCTTCAGGAATTAAGAAGGCGACCGCAGCTGTTTATGGTTGGGATCGTCCTTTACTAAGCTTCATCTACCCGAGTTTTCATTGTAGCTCAGTTGGCTTTCCGAGCCTCAAAAAAGCCACACCTCAATCTGGTGGTGTCTTCCCCGTGCGACTCCAAGGATGATTGAACAAATCCAACTGCCTCTAGAAAACGAGCAATTTGCCCTGTAGGCACAAGTAGTTCCCGTGAAAGAGCTTTCACCCTACTCCAGGAAAAGGTGAAGGTCTCCCCAGTTCCACTGAGTCTCCAAAGCCACAATTGGAAAACGAGACCGCAAATCCGGAAAACTCGAGTTGGACCTGGGTTGTATGTAACTTCGCACATTCTATGCGACACTTGTAATCTCTTGAACATACAAATACATCCTAAGTCCATCCAAGGCCGCTTTGCTACACGCATGTTTTAGCATGTTTGCCTTGAACCTTCCATTGCATCCTACCTCCGGAAAGGGCTGGCTGTTGCCTTTTCCTAGGGTAAACTCGGCTTAGCCTCCCACCGACTGGGGAGGTACCTGGAAGATGATTTCAGCTTCAAGGGACCCCCTGTCAGATGCCATGTTAGTGGGAGGGAGGGTAACCATGACCACGTGACCACGCATGTCAGGAGAAGCTGTAAGCGGATGCTCCAATCTTCGGACCCCCAACCAAAAAGGTCGCGCTTCGGTTTTCCACAAAACCGTTTGGCCCGGACCAACCCAGAAGCTGCCCAGTGAACCTGGAGAAAAGTGCACCCTTCTTGGTGTTGACTTGCTGTTTGGTGGGGAACCTGCCAACTAAAAGGGGAATCAGGGTGCCACAACTCGGGGTCAACGGCGGATTCGGAAACTCAATTGGCGGATTCGGCAACTGGAAAAGTCGGATTCGGCAATCGCCAACGATTCCAGTTGCTGAATCGGACTTTAATCCACAACTCAGGTTTGATTTCCCTCCAAAGAGGTTCAACCCCGCATTAATTATCCCAAGCGCGGGCTCAATGCCGCGGCAGGAAATTCATTTGGGGCGTCTTTTTGTCAATGCTGCTCTTGTTGTGGTCGATTGAAAAAGGGAGACAAAAAGGAAATCCTACCCACCAACTCTTGATACTTGACTTTGGAGGGAAACCACCCTAACAAAATAGGTCTGTGTCAACATAGGGGGACTTCCAGATATTGCGCTGTTTTCATGTCTTTAAGCCAAGATGAAAGAGGGTACCGCAGAAAAACACAACCCCAAGTAGACCAATGGAAATGCGCACAGGTCCGTCCTGGGCGTGGTCTCCACGTCCGAAGAACTCTGCAGGAAGCGCACGTTGAAGCGGAAGGAGACCTGGCGGGTGGTGAGTTCAAAGTGCCATGCTCTGAAAGCTACTCTCCTAGGTCCTCCAGTAGAGAGGTTAGAAGGGTACCAACTTTTTTCTGTAGTCTATTCTAGTAGGGAACCCTCCCCCCAAAAAAAGGGGTAAAAGGGCACTACTGGGGGATCTAGTAAAGTTACTCTCTAATCAGCTTCCTTCCAATCTTCTGCTTTGGAGCCCGGTGGTTTGGCGGGGTGGCTTCCCATTTCTACAAATACCAGAGGTGCAAATCCCCCAAACCACGAATCCACCCCACCAATGAATTAAGGGCTATGATGTGATGCGGCGTTGCTTCTGTTTTGGAAAACATCGATTTACAGCGTTATTTCCTTTGACCTGCCTTTGTTTTCTTTGGCATGCTTCGGGCGAGAGAGAGAGAGAGAGAGAGAAAGAGAAAGAGAGAGAGTCGCGGACAGCGCGGAGTCGCGGAGATTTCCTGCAGCGCCGAGTCGCTCTGCATTGGAGAGAGAGAGAGAGAGAGACAGAGACAAAGACAGAGACAGGGAGAGAGAGCGAATTGCGGTCATGAGTTTCTTTTTGAGGAATACCCTCCCAAATGGTGGACCAATCGTGGGCAATTGGCTCACTCCGCGAGCTGCTGCTTGTCCTATTCAGGCCGGGCTTCTCGCTGCATCCACCCTCACCGTGTTGATCTTGGATTTCCACCAAAACGGGCGCCTTCTTTCCCATGGCCACTGGAGGGGGCTGTGTCCCCTTTTCAGGCCGCTCATCAACATTGTTTAGAGTGGGGGTCCTCCTGATTTGAAGCATTCATGGTTGCTGGCCCCCCCCATGTAGATTTCCTCTTGGAGGTATGCATTACCGTTCTTGGATGTTGGCCGTTTCTGTGTATTTGGTTCTGTTCTTTTTTGTGTGGCGGGCCTGCAAAGAAGAGTCCGTCCTTTGGCTGAAAACGGGTGACTGATTGAGCCACAAGAGAACCATTGCATCCTGCCAGTGACTGACCGGCGACTAGTACGCGTCCTAAATCACCCATCCATGAACTTTCCTGGCTCTTGCTATGGCTAATACTTGCCATGGGGGTTGTCTTCTTTTGGTACCTGTTGTGTGTGTTTGTTAAAGGGAAGCCAGGGGAAAAACCACCCTTACAGGGTTCCCTCAAAAATTGACAAACCCACATGGGTGTGAATTGTAATCGGTGACCCTGTGGTGTACGTCTTGTTGGTCCATCAACTCCAAACTCTTCCCATTTTGCTGGTGAGTCACTGACACAATTTGTCACAGAAATTGACGGTCAACCCCGTAATTGGGAAAATGTGGACTCCTCCCCACCATACATCATTTCCCTCACCATGAATGGAACATGTTCTGGGCGTAGGCTCTCTTCCAGTCATTACATACAAACATGCAAGTTATGATTGCTCCAATCCAAGGGGACTCGCTCGCAGCCGCCCCCACCAGTGATTAAACAAATGTTCACCCCCCCACCCTACCTCCTCGAACCAGGGTAGTATCCAAAAGCTTCGAGCTGTCGGGGGCATAAACAACCAAATCACGACAAAGCGATCACAGAGCAACACCTAGCAACATATGTTCAACCAACATGTGTATATATATATATATATATGGTAATTCATAGTAGCGTGTGTTCAATCCCACCTACCCAAAACAACACCTAGACCATGGCAAGACTCCTAACCATGTGACGAGAACTGCCACTGGAGGCTTCAACCGGTGGGCGTGTCTCGCACGCCTCGGCGTCATCATCCATGTCTTCCGGCAGGTTCTGCGCCGAAAAAGCGCGGCAAAGGAGGCACTGGTATTCAGGGAATCTCCCTTTCAGCTGGATGTTACAACTTCTTCATAGTTCTAAGGTGACTAGCCGCATTTCCACTTACGAGCATCGCTAGAACCTACATGCTCACCTACTCACTCACGCGTGCGTGTGTCTTGGAGGTCTTAGCAGGTCATAGCACGGCCCTTCCATGTTTCAGGGATCTCTACCCGATAGACCCGTGCAGTTTTCCTTCGGACTTGCTCATGGCTCGGAGCACCCCTGACCTCAAAAACCGGGCTCACGCCAGCCCCCAGTTTGTTTAAAAGGCAAGTTTGCGGCCGATCGGGCTTCTTATAGTTGCGTCAAAGTAGATGGCACAATTTCACTATTTGGGTTTAGTCACCCGCGGCACCAAGATTACAAGGTAAGGTGACCCAACCGCAGTTCGAGCCATGATGGCGCCTCCCGCTGCCGCATCTGGGCGCCACTCTCGAGGAGCCGAGCCTATGGAAAGTCAGCGCAGCCCTTTTTGTTGCTTGTCCCCGAGCTTTACATGTTTGGTGCCCGAGCGATTCTTTTTGTACGCGGCAAAGCTCGAGCTTTTAGTTTGTAGAGCGTTTTTTTGTTGGTACCCGGCAAACCTTCAGTGGTTGGCTTGTGGATAGGGGGTATGCGCCATAGGGACTTGGACTCTCAAGTTCGATGGCTTCCTTGGGGCTTGCCTCTGCAATCGCCCCAACAAGGGTACCCTGAAAAAGCACAGCCGCCACCATGGCTGTGGGAGCCAATTTTGTATCCTTCCACCAAACATGGAGGAACACAGACTCTGTTTCCAAAAGCGGGCTGCGCATGTCCATGCTTTTTTGGTGGGACTTTTTCATGCCTACTGTCAACAGCGATTGGCAACTCAGGTTGGCAACCCGCACTACTTACAACAGCCTCTGATTTTCGAACCAGAATATGTCGGAATCCATGGCCAACCAAACTTGCTTGTTCCAAGTGAGCAAGCGATGACTCCTTTCCAGGCCGTGCAGAATGCTTGGCGGGGTAGTCGACCTGTTTTCTGTTTTCAGGCAACGTTGACCCCGAATATGGCTTAGCTATCGCCAACTCCAAATACGGAGTTCGCCTTAACATGGGGCCCACCCACCTTACCCCTTTGGTGTCCCTCGAAAATGACCCCAAAAAGGTACCCTCAACCAAAAAACACACCTAGGTCCTCCAGTAGAGAGGTCAGAATAAGATAGAAGAAGGGTACCCTTTTTTCTGTCCTCTATCTTAGTAGGGGAACCCTCCCCCAAAAAAGGGTAAAAGGGCACTACTGGGGGACCTAGACACCTAAAGCCCAGTTTAGAATTTGAAAACGGGCCAAAAGGAGAACAGTTGGGTCTCAGCTCTCAGTTTCCAGCCGCCAGAGCCAGGTCCGGGTCTCGCCTCAACATCCGAATTTGGAGGGGCCAAGCTGGACGTTTGAGTCCGTAGGGCTCAGAACAGGTTTGAGACTTCCGGCAGAGGTACGTAGGTAATGGAGTGAACTTGGTTGAAACCAAACATGCTTGGACAAAGCCAGGCATTCTTTAGAAGATACCATGAATATATATATATGTATATATTTTATGTACTATATATATATATGTAAATCAATATATATATATATTCATGATAATTCATGTATGTAAGGTATATAAACATAGTTAACAAAGCCACGCATTTTTAGCTGCCTGACAGTTCGAAAAACACAAAGTGAGACGTGCAGGCGCGTGCCTCGCGGGTTCAATCAAGCACACGCAAGGACAAACTTTCGCTACTGGGTTGATTGGTGAGAAACTTGGGGAGGGAGGGGGGGGGGGGGCGGCGGTCTTAACTAAAACGAAGACAACACTTGCCAAAGATATTTGCCTCAAGATTAAGACGAAAGCTGGGGAAACAACAGGGAAGCAACGAATCAACGGCGAATGGCAAAGCTTTAGAAGGACTGCATTCACCCGTGCTTCAAGATCGTCCCAGGGTCCAGTACCCATCCAACTCAACATGGGTATCAACATAGGGGACCTCCAAAATGGTGACGGTCCTTTCGGTTTTTCGCAAAACCAATATCTTCAAAACGACACAAGAAGCAACAGCAACTCTGATGCACAGCACTACCCCCCTACAGGCCGAGCATCATTTGACTGCTTACCCCAGTCACCCAGACAGCAGGCAAAATGGAAGTACAACTGGATCCGAGGGGTCACGCTCTAGCCCAAATCCATACAGAGAGCTGGGCATGCCGCAATCCGCTCCAGCCAACATGCAAGCTCTTCGAGTAAGGTCAAGTCAAGCGTTTTGGCATGTGCTCTCTTTGTTCAGACCAATGCATGTGGAAACAGGGACACTTTAAAGGGGACCAAAGGCAGACCGCACTGGAAGGGAAAAAAATATGAGTTGGTGACTAATTAGGGCCCAGGGAGGACCATTTGCCTCGCTCTGGGGGAAGCACGGATCAATTCAAATGATCCCCTTGTTTGAACCCTACTCTGTGGGCTGATTGACATAAGTCCACAAGTCTCTGAACACCCCGCTAAATGGCCGCCAGGCCGGATCGATCTCTCTGGTCAAAGTTGCGCTTGCAAGGAACTGTGCCTGGGTGGGCTTGAAAATGAGTTGCCGGTCTTGTCTAATATTTTGTCTTTGGTAGCATTGTCAATCGTCAGCATGTTTGTGCGTGTGCGTGTGTTTGTGACACCAACTGTCTATTCTGGGTCTTACGCGTCGCCGAGCATGAAGTTACGAAAAAAACAAGGGGCCAAACACTCTGAACATAGTAGAAGGTCCACTTCTTCCTTGCCTCTAGTTTGGTATTCCCCAAAAGTTGAACAGTTGGTACTTGGGTGTGTCAAAATAGGCTTCTCCTAAAAAGATCTCTTCCCTTTCGTATCCCTTCAAACCGACCAAAAAAGGGTGCCATCAAAATCACAAACCCATTTGGGGCTGTCTTTCTGAGGCCTCCCCCGCTGCCCATTTTGTGGCTTAAAAGGGGAACCAAAAGGAAAGCCACCCTTCCATTTTGGGGGATCAAACCCCAAAACGCGCCGCCCATGTGGCTCGCGCTTTGGAGGATGCTCGGCAGAGGCTCGGGCTTCTCCACGTAGGCCCGCCGCAACTCCCAGAGGAGTAGTCCCGACGTCGCCTGGCGTCCGGCTGGCGCATGGCTCCGGCATGAGCCATGCCGTGAGGCACCCAAGCTCGGATGTCGCATAGGATGTCAAAAAAGTAATTACTCTGGTGGACCCAAGGAGACCTCCCCGGGTTTTTCGTGGTGTTCCCAACACCAAGCCTCAATGTTGCAACCAAGCCCGTTTCCAAGAGCCATTGGCTGTTGCTCTTATGAGTTTGTTGGAGGGACCAGTCACGTCTTGGTGAGGAACACAGCACTGGTTGATGTTTGATGCTGACTTGCTCAGGCACCGGTTAGTCACCAACCTGCAGCAGACAACACTTGGGGTGTGTCGTTTTCTTTTTTGAATGCACCCTTTTCAGGGAACAACCGCACATCATCCATCTTGGAACTAGGTTCTCTAGTAGAGAGGTTAGAATAAGGGTACCTTTCTTCTGTAGTCTATTTTAGTAGGAGAACCCTCCCGCAAACAAAAGGGTAAAAGGGCACTACTGGGGGACCTAGAAAGGCTTTGAGAGCTAGATTTCATGAGTTGTTGTTCATGTCAACTTCCGATTTATCTAGAGGACCGTACTAATCAGGGGTAATTCTCCTTTTGATGGGGAAGCAATCTATCTTAGGTGGATTGCTCGAATTAGTATGCTGCGAACTTCACATTCGTGCCTTATGGCCAGTGCTTTCGTTCCCGTGCTTTTCAGGTTGTCTTGGAAAAGGTCTGACCAGGACCTTTCGAACGCATCGATTGCCACAGCTCTGTCTTGTGCAGCAGTGTCTACACGTTTGGCGTTGTCCAGGCTTCGAACACTGTGGTCTTGCTTCAAAGGCTCTCACAACACCTGGTTCCGAAAGGTGTCAGCACATCTTTTTTCCTCAAGGCGTTAAACACCGCCCTTCTCTAATGTTGTCCCCCGTCAATCTTCAACAGGATTTAACCGACTCTTTTTCCATATGCTTCTGTTTCCCAAGAGTCCCAAGAGGCTTCGAAAAGCGTGCTGCTGTGCTACTTCTCAAAACCTTTGAACATCATCCAGTTTCCTTTAAGGCTTTGAATACTTCTCCGTTCCTTGCTCCACGCGACGCACCCCTTTACACTGGCCTGTGAAACGCCTCAATCCTTTTGCCACGAAAAAACCGTCCCTCATGGCTTGGCCACGACTCAATCCTTCCGTTGACCTGCGTTGCCACTTGGATGTTCAACGCACGTCAGGAAAGAGGAGTCAGTCTAGCCATTTATCTGACTTATGAGGGAGCTATGCCAACTTGCCACCAGAATTACCAAGGTAAGACCAGCATGAAAGCCAAGGTCAACCAGCTACCAGAAGTAGTATATCCTACTTATCCTTTCTTTAATCTCAGGATTTTGAGGTGGTACAGGATGGACATTGTATCCACCATTTTCCACTTCTTTTATGACTTTATCACCTTCAAGTACAGGAAACATGTACATTAGAATTATTCATCTCTGGCATATCTTCATGTCTTACATCTCTTAACTTTTGGACAACACTTCTAAACCTGAGATTTTATTATCTTATTTCAAAGGCTATCCCATTATTTAGTTATCTTTCTTGATTACCGCTGTCGTGAGTTTATTAACATTACCTATCTTATCTAGTACACTTCGTTTTATGTTGGGTGATCTTAATTCGTATACACTTTTCTTTGATCCAATATGTGGAGATCCTATATTCTATCAACATGTATGTTGGTTTTTGTTGAACATCCAGAAATGTACATCGTCATAATTCATGCATTTGGGCTCCATATTAATTTCTGGGAGTTTACAGTTAATCTTTGTTGCTTTCATCAATCATCTTTGACATGTTATCGATTTCTCTTCTTGGAAGTCTTATACTGTAGGTTTAGAAAGTGATACAAGAGATTACTTTACAGGGTTCACAATCGTAAAAACAACTTAACCAACTGGTACGGAAATCTTTAATGTGCGTTTTACATATCTCTCCAATCCATATTTATTACAGCTTAGAATTACTTTTGTCTTCTTATTTCTTCTCTTTTTATTCATGTTTACCATAGGTGGGTCAGCAGGAATCATTTTAGAAATGCGGGGTTATCTTATTGTAGCACATGTTCATGCTGCTCTTTCTTTAGGAGCTATAATTGCTATCTTCTCTGGAATAATCTTCAATGGAGAACATATTGTTGGTACTAACAATTTATTACTTTCATCCTCATGTACACTCTCTCTCTCTCTCTCTCTTTATCATTGTAATTTAATATTTACTATCAGTGTTACCTTTCCCCAATGCATTTCTAAGGATTTAATGTTATGTCAAGCAGAATCCCATCCTTTCCATATTATTTTAAGTCCTGTAATCACCTGTCATCTACTGGATCAGGAATAACTTTCCTATCTTTTTCTTTTCGCTGGAATCCTTGTCGTTATCTCTTCACCCTTTCTCACCTTTTAATATCCTATCTATCATTCCAGCATTTATGATTTATTGCTAACTTGGTTGCCGTTGACCCCCCTGCAAAAGGTTTAACTTTTTGGGGGTGTAGTGGAAAAACATGTTTATTCCCCGAAAGGTTAAAGTCTAAAGATCTAACCCAATAGCAGTCAAGCTTCGCCTTGCTCCGGCCACTGGCCAAAAGACCATCCCGCCGAATCCGGGGAGCCCCGCGCGGCGCACACGCCTCCAGTCTCCAGCGGATGTCTCAAAACGTGGTGGCCGAAATCTAGGGGTTCATTCCTTTTCCATTCTTGTCAATCGTTCTTTTCAAAAACCGACCGCTGTTTCTCCGGTTGTGCTCATGGTTTTCTGGAAAGAAGGATCCCTGGAAAGAAGGGGGAATTGTCCCCGAGAAACAAAAGCAAAAACAACAAAAGACACATGCTCAAGAAAACACCCAGCCCCAAATTCAACAACCAAAACAGGCTTGGACTCAGGAAAAGACTTAGCTCAAAAAACCAGACCCCCAAAGAAACAAATTCGCACCCAGCAAAGAAACGGCAAAATTGAAAGCCTTCGGCTCCCTTCCCCTCTTCCCTTCCCCTCGCCCCTCCCCCCAGGCTCCCTCAGCCGAGTCTAAAACTGAGTCTGAAATTGATGTTGTTTCTGAGTCTAAATTTGTAATTTATTTGTGTTGTTTTCGTTTCTTGGGTTTGTGCATGCTTTTCTCTCCTCCCGGTCCCCTCGCCCAGCCTCCCGCACCCCCCAAGCCTGAAATTGAGTCCAATATTCCCCCAAAAAATGCTTATTATTGATGTTTTCACTCCTTTTTCCCCTCCCAACCCCGAGCCTGAAATTGAGTCCGACTTTTTTGTTTTTGTTATCTTGCTTGCTGTTTGTGTCTCGTGCTTCTTTCCAAGTCCGGCTCTTTGGATTGCTTATTTTGTTTCTGAGTTCGGGTTGTTGTTTCTGCGTCCGGCTGTTTGGTTTTGTGTGTCTTGTTTTGCCGAGACTGTTGCTTTTTTGAGTCCGGCTGTTTAACAAACTGTTTGCGTTTGTTTGGTCTAATGTTCGAGTCCGAAGTTGTTTTTTGATTGGGGGTACCAACAAAAGATGGTTGGCTTCACACCAACTTGATTGCCTTAAAAACCCAAGCCAAAGCCCATTTTACCCAGAACCATCTGAAGTCTATCTGAACCTTCGCGAGGCCGCTTAAATTTGCCCAGGTCTGTGGTTTTATCCCACTCAGTCCACCGACTTGACCCGTGGGTCCATTCTGGGGTTCCGCACCTCGGGTACCGGATTAACCAAAAAAACAAGGATCAAACAAAAACTATTCCAGGTGGATCAAAAAATCAATCAGCTGGGTTCCTCTACACAAATCAGCTGGAACGACCCTGTTCCGGCTGTTGACCAGAGTGCTTCTTGGCCGAGGGCATGCAATCGAAGGCCTTCGAGGATGAAGCAAGAACTGACCCAGAGCGGGCAGCCCCACTTTTTGATCATCTCCGAGATCTTCTCCGGCACTTTGCCCAGCATGTCCTGCTTCCAAGCGGAGAGCTGTGGATGTTGGGAAAAGTGCAGACGTCCCGAGTAAATCGGCCCGAGAACGACTCTTTTGTTTGCAAGTCAAATGGTCTTGCCGAAAAATGGAAAGTCCAGGAACTCAGGGAGGAAAAAAACCGGGGAACAAACACCGGGTCCGTTGAAGGATACATCCAGCCACCAGCTTTACCATAAAATCCTCTAATTCAGCTGCTAACAGCCATGTCACCATGGCACATCGGTCGATCGCTTCGGTCGCTGGCCTGGAACCCCCAAGCTCGAAATTAGACTCCTCGGCCCGAGCACGCCGAGCCCATACAAAAGCTAGCTCCTGGTTTGGGGAAAGGAAGTAAGCCAAGAGAGTCTAGGCAACTGGTGGTTTTCTTGGGGATGAGGTTCATTCCCCAGACCCCTCTTGATGCGCCTCGAGAAGCAGCACTGATTGAGGCCCAAGACCACAAGGTTGGCGGAGGCTGGGGGTTAGCCACGTGCTTTGGTGGGTCCCTTAAGTGGAGCTGGCGTGGGTCCTGTCCCATATGCAGAAGTTCATCACTGCGCCACATTGAAACAACCTGTTGCTTGCCTGCCTCTGCCAATGTAGAGTCCAAGAATTTGTCAATCAGCCATTGCTTGAGCATTGGAGCCCTGTCTTAGAGAATGTGGTGGGCCACATGCTTGTTGACGGCTATGGCTCCAAGAGCGCTGCCAAATTGCAGGAGTGATCTTGCCATTTTCTCATCTTTGGGCATTTTCTGCGTTGTTTGGACAAGCCCTTGCTAAGCTATTCCCCCCCCCACCTTTCGGGCAGACGGGATGGGGCGGCAAGCCCAATCCATTTGTTCCCACCACAAAATTGAAAAACAGGACTATAAATAGAAATCTCCGGGGGCCTGCTATTGACGTGGGCAAATTAAATTAGCGTCCTGGTGCCCCTGGACCATAGACTACTGGACATCTGGGCGCGCGGTTTTTTGAGGGTACCCCATTTTTGACATCAAAATGATCCATCTGTGTTTTTTGCGTTTGAAGGGAAGCCAACAGGAAGCAACCCATTGTGAGAAACACTTCTGCAACTACTTCGGATTCATCCGGAGAACCATTGATTTCAGAGGACCCCACCCCCCACCCGATTGCTCCTGTGTTTTTTTGTTAAAGGGGAACCGGGTGATTGGTACGGTTGCGGATGAATTCCAGGTTATTGCCGATGAAAAGCCGCCTGGCTGGGCCGGCCTTGAACACGGCGCGCGTCTCTGCGTCCGGATTCATGTCGATGGCGCTGAGCACTTCCAGGGGAACCAGGGAGGCATCCTGGTGTGTCAAATGGGTATCGAGCACGGGTGGACTGCAGCGGTGGTTTACGTTGATATCTAGCCCTGGACAAAAACGCACAGAAAAACACGTCATCCCGAAAAGGCGGACCCCACAAAAGGTGTAAAGGGCGCCCTCCAAAAAAAGACCATGGCCCAAGCGGGCCAACTCAGCCCGTTGAGTACTGACCGGCTTCCTGCCGGTTTTCATTTAAAGCAGTCCCGAAACTTCCATGCTAGGTTGCAGCCGGGAGACTTACTGAATTCCGACCACAAAAACAACATTGGCGAAACGAGTGTCCAACTGCGCAGCAGGGGTGAAATTTGGAGCCGCAGTGATCTTCGAAAACTGCACCGGCAAACTTACATCGACTTGCTGAAAGATGACAAAAACCAAAACGACAGCTATAGACAACTGTGCAACTTGTCCTGCCCTTAAGTTTAGAATTCCCCCCAAACACGCAAGCGTGGCTTTCGGATTAACATACTGCCCCTTTTGGGTGGTTTGGATTTGTGGTTTGGAGGTTTTGGTTTCTTCCTATTCTCTACAAGAACCAGGGTTTCAAGCCCCCCAAAACCACCAATCTTCAGAGTTTCCGGAATACTGATCTCGGGCTACAAAAACCACAGCCCTGGGACCCCCGCCAACCTCCGGAACCCTGAGACCCGAAAAAGTTTTCAGATCCTGGCACCTGCCATTTGGCCACGGGTCAAACGTCCCGTACCCCCAGTGAAGATCCCAATCCCCGCTAAAAAAGACTAAAGTGGGTGGTGCACCTACCCCAAAATGGGATCCCAAAACGATTTTGACCCACCGCCATTTGGCCCAGGGGATTCTTCAGACGGGAAAACGGACACCACTCGCTTCCTCCGCCGCCAGGATGGCTTCCAGCTGCTGGCACGCCTTGCAAACCGGAAAATTCGAATGAGCCAAACCCCGACCGTCACACATCTTGGTTGACGTTGGAAGGGGAGCAAAAATATACATTTTAGCAATTAAATGGGGATGTTCCACTGAACCCCAAAAAGCAAAAATGTAATGCGTATGAGGGTGTGTCATTGATGGTACCCTTTTCTTGGGGTTGCTTCAAAGGGAGGCACAAGGAAAACCACAGATATTCCCCCCCATTTGAGACAACCCATGAGTTTTTTTGGGGGGACCTTTGGGGCATCATTTGCATGGAATTTATGCCCAACCACTGAGGGGTTCCGCAATCAAATTCATAGCCAGCGGACTTGCCTGTTCTAATTCATTGGCTGAATTTCGAAAGAATGCCGCAAATTACAGAAGGAAATGCCGCATGCCTAGCTGCCTGTTGGTTGGCGTTTGCAATGTACCAAGTGAAGCGACACATGCACGCGCGCACACAAATGCCCAAACTGTTCCCCCCAATTCCCCTCACCAACGGTGTCCGCGAATTCGCGAAAAGAACGTGAAGTCCCCTCACGCACAGCTCGCGTCTGTGACCCGCCTCGATGGGTGGACCCCCGAAAATGGTTGACGTTGGAAGGGGAGCAAACATTTTAGTTTTAGCAGTTCAGTGGATTTGGATTTCAACCACTAAACCACAATAAGCAAAAATGTAAAAGGTTTCCCAACAACAACCATGAAAATGGGGTGGTTCTCCTTTTGGCCCCCTAACTCAGCCTAAGGGCATCCTCTGTGGAAGCCCAGCTTCTCACAGGGAAAGCCAAAAAAAAAACAAAAACGGCAGTTCATTGCTGCAAGCCCATCTGCCGCACTTCAGGCAATTTGGCTCAAGGAATTTCTTGAGAGGCCCTCTCCACTTCGCACAATCCTTCCAGCCAAATCCTGCGACCGGGGATGCATCCTGTGCGAATGTTTGCTTGGCCAACCTGCGGCTGGACACCTTGCTGAGTGAGCCATGTTCCAGCCTCGAAACCAGAAGCTCGTGACCAGAGTGAAAGCGGACATCAACAGGTCCAACCCTGGAAGACAACCTGCAAACGCCGAGAAAAGGCAACCGGCAGGTATCCCTGAACCGATCCGCTTGGGAGGCTCTGGTCACTTGACACAACTCCCCCCTGCAAAGTTGCTGGTTGAATCGATATATATATATATATATATATATGAGGAAACCCAAAAGGGAAAAGGAACAAGGAGGTCAGTTGAATCTGTCAACGCCTATATATATACACACGAAAATGGGCTTGTTCACATTCCCTTAAAGCAAGCCAGGCGAATGACACGGATCTCAAGTACCTTCTTTCCTGGCACGCCCAAAGGCTTGCTATCGTTCATGCCCCTCTCCCCAATGAAGGGAGTTGGTCGCCAGTCAATGTGCATTGACATCCCCACATGTACCCCTTATATAAGATTTAATGTTTATATAGTATATATATATATATATATATATCTCATAGCTGCCATGTATTCTGCGATGCTCTTGAAACCACGGGGTATGAACGCGGGGAAATTACGCAAGTTCGCACCTTCTGCTTAAACACTCTCTTGTGGGTTTCCCTTTCCTCAGAGCGTGCTGATTCAACCCAAATGAATACAACCCTGTGCAGGATTGCTCCCAACAATCGCGGTATCACCAGGGTCGAACATCGAACCCTGATCAAGGGAAACCAAACGACGCAGCTATTTCTGCCCTGTTTTGAGCTGTTAGGGACACCAAACCCATTTTCTACCAGGTCCTCCAGTGGAGAGGTTAGAATACGGGTACAATTTTCTTTCTGGAGTCTATTTTAGTAGGGGTTGCCCTCCCAACCAAAAAGGGGGTAAAAGAGCGGGCACCTAGCTGGGGGACCTAGACAAATAACCTGCCATACTTGGATGTTCAACCCACTTCCTAGGCTACAATCATGGTTCACACCAAGCGATTTTCTACCAAATGTTTGCCCTTGCCAAGGAGGCAACCCTCTGTCGAGAGGGAAGCAATCAAAAACCATTGCCGCCTGCTCGTGCATCTTCTGGGTGGCACTCGCGACCTTGAGAGGTTTCGTGTCCGTGTCTCAAGCCAATGGGCGGTGCGTTTTTGAGGGTACCTGGAGTTTCCATGACCCTTAAAAAATGGGGTCAGTACCCAAAATCATGGGGCCTATTTTTTAAGGGCCATGGAGAGTCTAGGTACCCATATGGAAGATTGGTGTACCCTCCCATCCAGAAACATGGAATCTGACTGAGAGGTTCCTAGTTTGGACCATTTTCCCTTAAAAGGGACCCCTAGTTCCATGACCGGAGGGTAAGGGGAACCGAAGGGAAAGTCACCATTTTGGAGTCGGTAGTTGAGACAAACCCAGGGCTGTGGATGCTTCCCCAAGAAAAGCGTCCATGCGTTGAGGTGCGGGACCCCTTTTTAGATTCCATGCTGATACGAGGTTCCTTCGAAATTCCGAGAGTTGTCTATGGTTCTTGGGTTCGCGGGACATGCTTCACGAGCCACTAAATTTCCGCAAAACCAGAGACTCGCCAATTGTCCCATGCTTTTTAGAGAAAACAATCATGTTTGACCAGAATAGATGGCCCCCAGTCAGATTGGGCTGTGGAAACGCCCCAAACAAGTCCCACAGGTTCCGAAGGAAGGACGAGTGAAAAGAACGAGGTATGCAACTTCAGACTTTTAGATTGGTTTTAAAGGGAATAAAGAGACTGACCACCTATCTTGAGGGATGCAAGTTTAAGCTCTAAGCTGTTTCAAACTTTAAGTTGGGTTGCGGAAGAAGCTGTCACTCGACATGAGTCACGGTCAAAGCCCCGTATGTTTTTGAGGGGTCCATAGCCACCCTTACCAACTTGCCAACTTCCAGAGTGTTTTCACCATGGCACACATGATGCTACAACCGGGCTCGGTATTTTTGTGCAACTCTTCAACGGCTCTGAAGTCAGTTTGAAGGCCCCCAGCAGCACTTTCCTAAAAACCAGCCACTGGGACTCCGGGACTATAGATCCATCTGGCAGCTTGGGATTTAAGAGCGAAAGGAAGCCACCTCGAAATTCCGCCTCTGAAAGAAACACCAAGGCTTCGGCTCCGACCCAAAAAGTCCTTTTGCAACAGCCCAACCTGCCTGTCCTTGGGGCCTCAAGGCCGGGAAACCCAAAAAGGGGTCTCGAAGCCTTCAAGCCACTTAGAAGCTTCTTGGGGGGGTTCTTGGAGGGGGTTCTGAGAACCATTCTCGGTTGCGAAATCTGCGAGCCCCTGCTAAAAGTAACAAACTTTTAGTGGTTTAATACGGAAAACCCATGAGTTGGCAAAAAGTTGTTCAGTCCTAACATCCCTTGGCAAAATGCACCAAAGCATTGTCCTAGTCGAGGGCGCGGCCTTTCTCTTCATCTCCTGCGTAGCCTCTGCCAAGGGATGCGGCCGCGTTTTTTGGACAAGTCTCCAAGGATGGAAGCACGATGACTCCCGCGGAAAAAGACACCCCTCGGGCAGTAGATTTGAAGGGGGTCCCTTCTCCAACAAATAACACAAGGGCAGGTGGCAAGATTCAGCTTCCCCCAAATTACACAAACTGAGTAACGGAATGGACTTCTATCAAATAATGTACCGCATAAGGGGTAAAAGGAACCACCATCATTTGTGTCGCAAAACCCAAACCTGCGTCACGACTTGACCCAGAGAGGTCAAATCACAGCTCCTTGAAAACAGCAAATGCAATAAACACTCGTTTGCCCCACATCAGCGTGCAACACGCACGAGTGGGCAAACTCAGCACGCGTGTCCAATCGAAATAGCATGGGCGTCCCGGTAGTCCCGGTGGTCCCAAGGGTGTGTTTTGTTTCTTTCACAGGAAGTCGGCCCAAAACCCAATTCCTGGAAGGGGTGCTCAGTGAAAATCGAAAACAAACAGCACCGTTACCAGGACTCAACATGGGGCGATGCCGAATGTGATCCTTGCTGTTCACCAGCTTCCGATCCCTTGGCCCATTTTGCGACGTGAAACCGACACGGGTAGACATGTGGTGGGAGGAAAGCCAAAGGAAAGGCTTGGAGCACTGGTGCCACTAAAACGACGTTGGGTTTGCAAACGGCAAAACATTGGTGCCACTCATCAAGAAATCGAATCAGTCAATTGTGACTGATCAGTGGGACCAAGGTCCTGCTGAATGATGAAGTAGGAGCTATTTTGCCAGGTATCATTTCCCTTGAAAACCAATCGGGAGAATCTCTAAGATTACTACATCAACAAACACGCAGAAAACTAAGCGTTGGTAAAACGTCGGAGAATTGGGCCAAGCCCCTTGTTGAAAATCCGCTTTGTTTTCCCCTGGTTCTCCTTTGGCGTGCTAAATCAGGTTTGTTTGTGCGTCAGGGCAATACCTCAGTTGCCCAAAGGACCCAACCTTTTGGGGCCATGACTAAAAGAAGAAGAGAACAAAAAAGGCGAAACCAAGAGGTCAAAAGGTCGGATTTGGGCAAGTAAAACACAGTTGGGTGCAAGAAGATGACACAATCATTTTGGTTTCGTCACCCCCTTCGCCTCCCCAGGTTGACCGGGAATTGTGCCCTTTCACCCGTGCGTGGGGGGGGAGGCCTTCCCGCCTCCGGAACTTGGTCCGGCTTCATGCGCTTTCGGCCCAGGCGGATGACTGCCCAAAGGGGGACCTGCCAAATCGAGCGAAGGTGCGGTTTGTGAAGGGGTGCGCAAGCTGAGAACTGGTTGCAATACAATGGCCAAGGGCTCGTCCCCATGTTGGAAACGTTGAGCTCGTCACCCCACAGACCACTGGAGCCTCACGTTGTATGTGTGTGATGACCAGGAATTCCTTTAGGGTTGGGACTTTTCAGAACCCCCCCCCCTTCCCCACCCCAAAATTGGTCCGTCCGACCGGTCAGCGACCAAATTCCCCGGCTCGAAGCTGATCCAACTCCGGTCAAGTCCCTAGAAAGTGACCAACCCCCCTCTAAAAACGCGGAAACCGGCCAAGAACCGATCAAATCACCCTAGAAACCGCTAGACCAGTCAAAATCCGGCCAAATCCTGCTAGAAACTGTTCAAATTCCCCCTCTCAAAGCCAGCCAACTCTGGTCAAAACCCCTAGTCAAATCCGCGCCAAAAAAACCGAAGAAACCGATCAAACCCCTCTAAAAAACAAGTCCAACTCCAGTCAAATCCTTCCAGAAACCGGCAAAATTCCCCCCCAGCCAGTCAAATTGCATAGAAATTTGCACCTTCGCTTGGCCCAAGCTCACTGCCATTCTGTAGCTCTCTGCGGCTCTCGCTATGTGGAAACACGCAGACATGCACCCACCCTCTACCCTGGAAACCAGCTCACGCATTTCGGCGCCGACTCACTCAGTCTAATAAACACAAGACTTCAAGGCAAACTAAAGCACGGTGTTTACCTCAAACTGGCCGAGGCGGGCAACGCGAAGCGCTTGAAATTAGTATCTCCGACACCTGCAAGGCAAGACAAAAAGATCAAAAGATAAGATAGGGAACACATTCAAATATATATATATATATATATATACAGACATGTGTGATGCTCCAATCAACAAGACCTAAGAGTACAAGTGAAATTGTATCATCAACATGATGATGAAGGAATAGAATCCAAGACTTGCAGATGAATTTGACGATTCACTGTATGTGTTTTATCATTACATTATTGCTGTTTGGTCCTTTCCTTTTCATAGTCACCCTTCACTCTCATCTAATGGATTCCCACCTTGAAGAGCTCTTGCAGTGGATGGACGAAATCCTGCACCACCTAAGCAACCCTGGTTTCTGGTGTCCCATGGCGTCAAAGTGGTGCGAAATGGATTTCGTCCATCCACAGTATCTCTCCATCAGCTCCAAAAGGCATCCCAGGCCCAGGAACAAAACAAGCAAATGTCCTGGGAACGCACACCGAACGCCCTACATGTCTGTGGGTCAACAATAGGTACCCCAAATGGAACCCTAGTCAGTGGAAACATGGAGCAAAACCTGCGGTTTCCTGGTGGTTCAATTTTGATCCATACCCACATGGAACTGCCAAGCATCCGATAATGTCGCAGCAAACGCCTGCAGATCACAGTTTCAGGACTCAAATTGTGTAGCAAACAATCCTGTACCCGACTAAAACGATATGTTTGGGAGGATGCTATCTTTTCTTTTGCGCCCAACCAAACGAGCCAATGTGTGATTTAGCCCACAATGCATGTCAAAGGATGGGTCGTATTTCTCAAAAAGTAAAGACAAAACAAATATCAACAAAGATTCCAGCCTTTGTGGCTCAGAAAAATCGCCCGCCCGACGCAGAGTCTTCAATGCTTAAAATAGGGTGTGGAGTATAGTTGTGAGGTACGAGTCGGGGGGGGACCATTTAAAGTCATGAGTAGTCATGGTTATCGGAATATGATGCTTCTCAGACGCAAGTTGCGCGTGCTCCTACTGACCATACTGAGATGTCCCTCGTAAGCCTCACTTATGATATATGACAAGCTCTATTGAATATGCAAGAGGTAGATGACACAATTCCCTTTGGACATGCGTGACTAAACCATGTGGGATTTGCGCCATCTACTTTCATCCAGCAATGATTTTGCTCTACGCACAAGTAGAAGTGCGGCAGGAGGGAGACAAAAAGGAAACCCTGCCAATACCGTTTTGTTTGCTGGTGGTTCAGATCTGCAACCAGTTCAAGGTTCGCAGTGTGAAACTTGGTTGACGTTGGAAGGGGAGCAACAATGTCAATTTTAGTAGTTAAGTGAGGATCTCCCACTAAACCACAATAAGCAAAAATGTAAAACGTTTCCCAACAACAACCATGGAAAGAGAAACACGTTTCAGCCTTGAGCTTAGGTCTCAAGCTTCGAGCGAATCGTTTACCCACCTCTGCTTCTGGCGAAGATGTGCAGAAGCGCCGCAGGGCGTCCTCGAAGTGTGGCAAAAGCACGCACAGCCCGAAGCCACTCTGAATGGAAACCCAGAACCAAAACCCTGTTGGTTCAGAGCGGTCTATTTTAGAAAGGATTGACTTTAACTCAAAGATGGCCTCCACCCAAGCAAGCAAGCAAGAGAGCAAGCAAGCAAGAGAGCAAGCAAGCAAGAGAGCAAGAGAGCAAGCAAGCAAGCAAGCAAGCAAGCAAGCAAGCAAGCAAGCAAGCAAACAAAGAAACAACCAAATGCAGAAACAAACAAACAAGCAAGCATACAAAGACTCAAGTAGGCAAACAGTCACATAAGCAAACAAGCATCCACACAAGCAAACACGCAAACAAGCAACCAACAAAAAGAAAGGACAACAAGCAAGCAAACAAGCAAACAAGCAAACAACCAAGCAACACACGTCCCTGTCAGCAACTGGAAGTAGGTTATAAGGCCCAGTTCGGGGTGGCATTCTTAAAAACCAACTTTGATCCTCCAAAGTCCGGTTGCCTCGGCCTCGCCACCTTTGGTGCTGGTCATGTGCTGCAGCGCCCACCTCGGACCGAAGGCCCCCAAGGCCCCCAAGGGGGGATAGGCGCTGGTCAATGAGATGAGCCCACGTTGGTTCCGATTGGTTTTCCTCACCAAGAGGAAAGGGGGGTTACCCAAACAACACAGCCATGTGGTGTACCTGATGTGGTGGTTCTTCGACCCCAATGCCTCTGTTCTGGATTGTTGGCCAGGCGCGACTTCTGACTGTTTCTGGCTTGAAACCCCCACTCTTTGCACAGGCACAGAGCTGCGAGCACGGGTTTAACGGCAGTCAATCACAACCATAGCCACAACCGAAATCATGCCCGCTGTTCGACGCATTCCCAAACGTGTGTGCTTTGGAGTTGGTATCGTTTTGGGGTGATTGAAGCATGATTCAAAGGGACACCCCATTTTGACAATAGCAGGCGTGGCCAGTGCAAGGAAGTGCCCCCAGCATGCCTCCGCACCTTGCGAAGCAAACTGGGTCGTAGCTCAGAAAGCAAAGTAAAGGACGCACGACGAGTAGCAAGAGCGTCTTGGTGGCAACACGTGCCTTTCTCGGCACTGGACATGTGAATATGTTGGTTTGGACACAACTGCAAGCACACCACCTCGTGTGGTGCTTCCGATGGTCATAATCATGAGCCGACACAATCTGCTCAGTCGCCAAACACCTACGTCGCAGGATTGGTGCCTGATGGAATGACATTTAGGTGTCCAACCCTTCAGGAGGCATGAATTGACTAAGGGGGTGGTGTGTCCACCAACTATTGTTGAGGGTGTTGTTCATCGAATTCCAAATCCATGCATTATAAGAAACTGCTCCTTCGGTTTCCCTTTTATGGGGGCTCCAAAAGGGTTCCCAATAATCATCATCCGGCTTTCCCTTCAAAGGGGCCGTTGGTCGATAATTGAACCCCCCACATTTCGATCTCATTGGAATCCATTGAATGTTCCCCTCTTACCAAAGGTGGCAATGGGGTTGTCGAAACAAATGAGGGTCGCGCCTGACAAACACTTGCATCGAGTCCGGCACTTCAGCTCACATCCGAATGCTCCAAGCATTTTTTACCAAGGTTCCTCCCCGTGTTCAAGTTGATGGCCATGAAATCATGAAATCAATCCAAACCCGGGGCCATCACCAGCCTAAAAAGGACACCTCTGGGTACCATGGAAGCCACCAAGCCCAAGTCCCCAAAGGGTCTAGGAGCTTCCTATGGAATCTGGGATAAAGATGGATAAAGGACATGGACACATTCCCGGTTTCTCCCTTTGTCGCCCTGGTTGATCGAAAATCGGAACTTTATGTGAGTCGCATGTCCCGAAGACCACAAATGGATAGAGCGGATTTGACCGAACCTCACAGCAGCGCCCTTTGACCCATTGACTTTTGGTTCTACCAGGATGGTGATACAGGTTAATCCAGGCTTTGCTCACAATCCAAATTCACCACCGGATTCGTCTGGCGTTGCTTTACGGCGTCCATGATTCAAGGTCACAGGACTCATTGAACTGGAACCCAACACGCCCTCGTTTTAGAACCGGGACCTTCATTGGGGAAATGACTATTCTTGGGTCCCATCTTTTCATCTGGGAAGTACACAAATGGTCCACGTTTTGACCCCAAGTCTTCCTCAGCCACTGCTGCCAGCTCTCTCCCGACTTTTTCTCAGTCTCTTTAGGTTTATCTATGTCCATCTCCGTCTCCCCGCAGTCACACTAATTACTACCGGTTGCCGCGGGACAAAAAAGACGTTCAAGATCAAGGTCGAACAGTCCGGCTTTCTGGGCAAATTCCAGACTAAAGTTAAATGCAGAAACCCGAAAAGAGATTCCACGCAAAGGAGTCTCCCGTCAATTTAAGTACTTTGCAAAACTGAAGCAAGAAAAGAACCTTCATGGTGAGGCCGATTCGACCCCTAAGAGCCCACTTTAAGTGTGCCCAAAGACCTGAGTGCAGGCAGGATCCGTGATGTCACCTTGCCAGTGTAAAAACCTTCGTGAGACTTCCCACAAGAAATCAGCGCCCAAAACTCAAATGTTCGCTGGTTCTATCAGACATAAAGGTTCATAGAAGCCAGAATACGTTCCTGAAACTAGGTAAAAAAGCCACCCGCTACAGCGGGCCAATGGGGGCTTCGGGCGCTGCTGTGGGAGTACTGCTCTTCTCTTGAGCACACCACGCCTCACCACTCAAAGAGATTGAGATTTTTGGTGGGTACTGACCGGCCACCGTTCGAAGTATTGGCTGGGTACGGACCGTTTCGATCCAGACCACTGCTGGCCCGAATGAATTCACCTAGCAGAGATGGGAAGCGTGCAAGCAACTCCTCCAAACATGATCGTTGCTAGATGTTGGGGCGAAATTGTGCATCGTCAATTTGGGCGCCTTGGGTCTAGTTGGCGAAGTGCGCTCCTTATGGTTCTCTTTGAAGGAGGCACCTCATCAATACCAAGAAGTTGATCAATCAACCGTAGGCTTGTCTCTAAATGGGGCGCACCCCAAAATGTGCCTTGGTCTCGCTTCCCTTTGAAACAACCCCCAAAGCAGGGCACCCTCAACGTCACCCCGACCTGTACACACCCCGAAACCTGGTTGCCTCCAATGGTTTTTACACATTGCTGAAACGTTTGTCGGTCGACTTGAAGTGCTGAAACACTCCAGTACACCTGGGTCCTCCAGTAGAGAGGATAGAATAATAAGGGTACCCTTTTTGCTGTAGTCTATTTTAGTAGGGGAACTCTTCCCCAAAAAAGTTGGTAAAAGGGCACCTAGCTGGGGGACCTAGAAACGAGAAGGACACGTCCCGGTCTGGGAAAAAGGCTCAGACTGAGAACCAATCACCGAGGCAGTTGCGCACGTGTCCCTGGGGTTCCTACTGGCCCAGGGCTCAAAATGACTCGAAGGGTAGGTTGAAGGGAACCCAAGTGGCTGCGAGAAAACCCCCCCCCAAAAAAAAATGGGTGGTTTCCTCTTTTTTGCCGTCGAAAAAAGGCACTTCTCAACCAAACCAAAAAACAACAAAGAAGAAGCGCCCCCATTGCCCCCTAAATTGCAACGCCCCCTTCAAAACGAAGCTCCTTGTCAGGGTCCCAAGCGGTAGCAATTTGATGCCCCGTCGAACCATTCCCTTAAGACCTTACCCCCTATTGCCATGCCCCAACGAAGCTCCTTGTAAGGGTCCAAGTGTAGCAAAGTGGAACCACTTTGATGCCCCATACCCTTCCCTTACCCCCTTGCAACGCCCCTTTACCGAAGCTCCTTGTGTTGTAAGGGTCCCAAGTGGTAGCAAGTTGATGTACCATCTTACCAACGAAGCTCCTAAGGTAAGGGTCCAAGTGTAGCAAAGTCTCAACCAAACCAAAAAAACAAAAAAAACGCCCCCTTCAAATCAAGCTCCTTGCGTAAGGGTCCCAAGTGGTACCAAGTTGATGCTCCATACCATTCGCTCTTAAGCTCCCCAGGCTTGGTGTTTCGCGTCGGAAGCTGCGGGGGCTCTGGGCTTGAAGGCCGGGTGGATGGCAGCGGCCAAGGTCGCGCCCATGAGAGGGCCCAGCCACATGACCCAAAGGTCCTGCTCAGCGTTTTTTTGGGTTGTTGTTGTTGTTTGTTTGTTTGTTTTTTCGTCGAACTGTTTTTTTCCTGGTTTTCGGTTTTGAAGCCCAAAAAAGTGTTCTTGCTTTGGTTTCCTCAGCTTTTTCTGCGTCAACATGTGGCAGGTCGCTCAGCCGTGGTTTCACGCGCAGACTTGAGGGTGTGTGGATCTGCGCACGCGTTTTGAAGCCCAAAAAGGTGCTTTGCGTTGTTTGCCCTTTGAACCAAACCTCAGGAAGGGTACCCTTTTGGTTATGGTTGGTGGTTTGGAGATTCGGGGGCCATTTGTCCATTTGGTCTCAACGGGAATTTAGGGTTGCTACTGGCTATTTTCGATTTGAGGCGGGACAAAACAAACACCAAACAAGGGTCCCTTTCATTCACTTCCTCAGTGGACTAGCCAAAAGTAAAAGTCTGAACTTGGTGATCACCACTGAAGTGGTCTTCCCAAAATGACTCTGAAGTCCATTCACTTGGTGAAGTGAGCTTGACCTCCAAACCAAGCCACACAGGCGCAGCGGAAATCCGGTCTTGGGGTTTTGGTGTGACGGAAGGTCTCCTTTGTCAGGATTGCTCCAAAAGCCCGATCACATGCGAGAGATAGGATCTACCCGAACTTGGTGTTCTATCCTTCAGTGGAGACGGCTGCCCTTCTTTTTTTTCTGTAGGCTATTTTTGTAGGGGAACCCTCCCCCCATAAAAGGGTAAAAGGCGACTACTTGGGGACCTGGTGTAGTCATTTCGAGGTGTTGCAGCAAACCCAACGCATCCTGGACAAAGGAAAAGAACGGAACCCAAGAACAAGCCAGCATGCGTGCGTGCGTGCGTGCGTGCGTGCGTGCGTGCGTGCGTGCGTGCGTGCGTGCGTGCGTGCGTGCGTGCGTGCGTGCGTGCGTGCGTGCGTGCGTGCGTGCGTGCGTGCGTGCGTGCGTGCGTGCGTGCGTGCGTGCGTGCGTGCGTGCGTGCGTGCGTGCGTGCGTGCGTGCGTGCGTGCGTGCGTGCGTGCGTGCGTGCGTGCGTGCGTGCGTGCGTGCGTGCGTGCGTGCGTGCGTGCGTGCGTGCGTGCGTGCGTGCGTGCGTGCGTGCGTGCGTGCGTGCGTGCGTGCGTGCGTGCGTGCGTGCGTGCGTGCGTGCGTGCGTGCGTGCGTGCGTGCGTGCGTGCGTGCGTGCGTGCGTGCGTGCGTGCGTGCGTGCGTGCGTGCGTGCGTGCGTGCGTGCGTGCGTGCGTGCGTGCGTGCGTGCGTGCGTGGGTGGGTGGGTGGGGGTGGGTGGGTGGGTGGGTGGGTGGGTGGGTGGGTGGGTGGGTGGGTGGGTGGGTGGGTGGGTGGGTGGGTGTGTGTGTGTTAAGCAAATAACAAAGGCAAACAAAGGTGGAAAACCAGGCTGGCACCACCCACAAAGGAGAATCATAAGCCTTAAGCTGCAGC